GGAAAGAAAAACCCAAACCACCCAAACTCACATTGTCTGAGCGTTCATGGGCCTGAGTAGAGTCTCTGAAACCCATGGAAATGTGTCCAAAGGCTTCAGTGGGATTCAGATCAGGTCCCTGAGCACAACATTCCAAGCCAGATTAAGCTCTGGGTCTCCTGGGTCACCAGGCAAGCCTAGGCTTGAGCCACAGAGGGACAGACAGACAGTTTCTCTAGTAACTGCAGGCCAAGCCCAGAGCAAACAGTTTCCCCAAAGAGCCTCTGGCAGGACTGACCCCTGCAGAATATTTTGCAGGTTTCTTGCTTTAAAGGAATGGGTAGATGGAAGTAATGGAGCCAAGTGCAGCTTGTAGCAATCTTCCTTCTGCAAAGCTTTGGTTTGGGGGTGATGGATGACAGGCAATTCCTGCAGGTAAGCAGCTGAAATTCCTAACTATTGCTATAAAATCAGCCAGTTGAGTCATTGCCATATGGAAAACATCCTAGGTGACAATCTCCTTAGGGAAAAGCACTTTGCATGTGCCCTGATTACATTCAGGAGCTTCATGCATGGACACAGCACTGATCTGGACAATGCACTATGTCAGAGGGCAGAACAAACCTCCTGTCTGCACACTGAAAACTTACACCTTCAACCCTGAAGTCTTTGTGCAAAGATTTATTTTTGCCTGGAACAAACCAGAGCTGATTCCTATCAAAGCCACAAAAAAATGGAAGTGTTTGAGAACCACATCTCACTAGAATTGAATTTGAGATCATCAGTCCTTAGTGACTTCAGCAATAAAATAAAGTAAAATAAGAGGTTGGTGCTGGTCTGAATGTTCAGAATAGTCCAATGGCCTTATATGTTCTACAATTAAATAACAAAGGGAAGACTGCAAAGCTACTTGGGCTGGTTTTAGGGAGTCTTAGAGCTGTTGCCACAGCCCTGTAAATTTTCCTGCTAATATAATCAAGTATTGATGTCTGTTCTTTCTTCCTCATGATTTCCAGAGGGAGGGAGGGAGAGGACTGCAAGGAGCTGAACAGGTCAAGGGAAGCAAACAGCAATGGGTGGGTAAACCCCTAAAAACCAGGGATGAGGGGAAGGTGACCACTGGGTGAGGATGTGCAGCCTGTGCCTGCCATTGCAGCCCAGTGCAGGGAGCACGAGGCTTTCACTCCTCTGGGCTGTGAGTCTGTGTCCTTTGGGGCTTCTTGGTGTGAACAAAACCTCAATATCCAGAAAGAGCCCAAAGCATGAGCCTGGAGCACCACGAGTGCCAGCACAGCCTGGATCATCTTCACCTGGAGCCATTTGCCCACTGGAGCAGGGTGGAAACTCCATATGTGTGTTCCATATTGACTCAGCCCATAGAAACCTCTTTCACAACAAAACTTCCCATGGGCAGAGCCACCTGCACAGCCCCAAGTGTCCTGCAGAGCCCTGGCTGAGTGACCATGACGACAGAGAGTACACAGAGGCTCCAGGCCTGGGGCTGAGCCACAGCCACACTGGGGACACTCCAGCCCAGCAGTCCCAGGGGAAGGGATGGGGCACCCAGAGACCTCCCAAAGAGCCATTCCCAGAGGAATATCAGCCAGGGAATCACTG